AGCTTGCTCTCTGGTCCTGAAATTGTGGGGTCCAAATTTTTAGGAATCTAGTGTTTCTGATAGTGAGCCAAGTGGAGACAGGCCTGATGTGAGTGGCAAACCTACCTCTGCATCTCCCTGGTGGCAGACCTATCCCTGCAGCAACAGAAAGATGACTGCTATTTTAGGGACAGTCCAGCCCCTGTCTTCTTGAACTGCCCCTTGATCATGCTGAGTGAGCTGCAAGAACATCCAAGACTGATACCCTGTATACAAAGACAGTCCCTCCTCTGGGGCTGCAGTGGGACACACAGAAGAGTCAAGACTAGAGATGGCTGAGCGCAGAGGGGCTTTTTCATGAGTGTCATAGTAACAGAAGTCACAGCACAGCAACGCAATGAAAGATGAAGAAGAAAAGAAACGAAGAGACTTATTCTAGAGCATTCCAGAAATTGCAGGGAGGATACTGTGAGTCAGGTTGGTCACTGATAGAAACCATATGAGTTCATGTTTTAACAACATGGGTTTCAAAACTGTGAGTATAAAATCATTTTAGATCAGGGGGGCTAGGGACGCCTCGGGGGCTCAACGGTTGAACGTCTGCCTTCAGCCCGGGGTGTGATCCTGGAGTTTCGGGATCGAGTCCCACATTGGGCTTCATGCATGGAGCCTGCTTCTCTCTCTGCCTGTGTCTCTGCCTCTCTCATGAATAAATTAAAAAATATTTAAAAAAAAAAAAAAGGTCAGGAGCTAGGTGAGGCCTCCATCACTAAATTGATACAATTACTTAAAAATTGTGTTGAATCTGCATTGCCAATCAGTATTGTTAATTATGCATAATTACTATGTACAAATATGTATGTATTACATATGAGGTATAATATATTTTCTCTATTTTCCAATTTATTTGATATACTTTGCTAAATTAGTGATAGCAAATTTCTACAAGTTCTTACATGTGTATACAAAGCACAAGCTAACAAAGCAATTGTTTTAGAACAATTCTTTCCAAAAAAATGTAGACATGAAAAATATATACACATTTTTTTCTCTTTCTCTACATTCTCTTTCTCCATATACACACACAGAAAATCAAGAGAACTTACTAGGGATATCATAATGGTAATAAAACTTTTAACAGTTTAAGGGAAATTAAAATTAAGGGCAAGTTTTACATTTAAGTTTAATTCTGGGTCAAAGGAAGTAAAGAGACAACAATTTTTAATTCATATGCTGAGATAAACAGTTGGAAGAAGAGAATATATCAAAAAACACTAACAGAAAAATCTCCAATTTACCAAACTGTTATTTACTGTAGTCATAGATTTCTGCAGATGTAGAGTCACTAATTAATGATAAATAATTTACATATTATATATTAGATGTGGTAAAATAATATAAAGCAATGGCATCAGAGTTGAAAGTTTGTTGATATTAAGGAAATAAAACATTTGGGGAAAAAGTAGTGGTATGCATAACTCCATGATTAACTCAAATCTTTTAATATCCATTAAGATTCCCAAGCCAAAGCCAAGAATATTTGATCTATAGTTTCTTCTCCTGACTGTCTTATTAAAGAATATTGCACTTATCTTCAATTCCTGATTCACGGTAGAAGTTACGGATACTCCCACTGGGATATTCAAAATTCTTAATTTGTTTACACATTTTGGCTCCTTTCCAGATTTTATGTGAACAGTAACTGATCCAAGAAACAAACAGGCGGAAATGTCTTTGAATAGCATTCTTTTACCATCAGGTCATACATACCTCCACTCCATTCAGTATAACAGGCAACTGAATTCCTGAACTGGGCAGTTCAATAATACATTTTTAAAACTCAGGAGGGATTAAAGAGAATGATTTTCTATTCAAACAAGAAAAGAAAAAGGAACTATGAACTTAACAGGGTCTTAAAAACACAGGATGGAAGAGAAATTCTTTCAAACTATTAAAAAAAATTAGTAACATGCAGATTTTATCATCTATTTCCTTCTCCTCAAAGGGATGTTTTGTTATCCACTTAGACTGAAGAAGAGCCTGCCTTCAACCAAATGAAGGGCTCAGATGTAAAGAATAAGAAAGGGGGGGAAAAGGAAAACCTTACACACCAACAAACCAACCAATGTCAATAGCCCATTTTATACTCAGGCAGAACAAAGAACAAAGTGGATAGATCTAGAATGGCAAGCCTCCAGAAACCTCACTCAGTTCATCTTCAAGATGCCTTGCCAGACCTTATCCAAATAACCCAATTTTACAGTCTACAGACTAATGAAAATTCTTACAAAATTGACTTCCTTGTGGAATCTCAAATCCTGTCTCCACTCAGGTCAAAAAGATCGCTAGGATTGCCTTGGTAAAGTTTTTGCCTCTGGGCTCAATGGCAATTTTGCAAAATGGAAAAAAAAAGGGGAATACATCCAGGTAAAAATCTGAATGTAGATTTAAATCAGATTTAAAAAAAAAACAAAAATGGGTAGGAAATATCAGAAAGGGAGTCAGAACATGAAGACTCCTAACTCTGGGAAACGAGCTAGGGGTGGTGGAATGGGAGGAGGGTGAGGGGTGGGGGTGAATGGGTGACGGGCACTGAGGGGGGCACTTGACGGGATGAGCACTGGGTGTTATTCTGTATGTTGGCAAATTGAACATCAATAAAAAATAAATTATTAAAAAAAAACAAAACAAAAGCAAAAAACATTTAAGAACAAACCTACCTAGTTGTAATAGAATTCCCTGAAAAACTGTCCAAGAGTCAGAAATGTTTCATTCTCAAACTCACTTTGCCTTTCCATCTGCAGGGTGATCAAGTGTCCTTAAACTCTGCACATGCCTTTTTGCAACTGTCATATCACAAGGTTGATACAGACCTACCTCACAGAGACTCTGCAAGGATTAATTAAGGTTAAACTGGAAGAAAGAAATGCATTTGACAAGTTAGGCTTTATCCCATGCTGCTAAAGAGACCCAGATGTTTTAACAACTGCTCAGATTATTTAGTAGCATCCTCAACTAAGTAGAGCATAAATTTACATAATGCATTTCAGCTGTGAAGACATTTTTAAAAATCACAGATTCCAATATTTCAGATGGTAAGAGAAAACAATCTAGCTCTGTTCAGGTCTAGCTCATTATACTGGGCACCATTTACCCCCAAATCTTCCCATCGAGCAAATATTGTGATAAATGTTCTTAGGACTGTCTCATGGCAAGGTAAGACTTCATACTTTGTCATGCCTAGGCATGTTTCTAGATTTTCCTTCCTCCTATGAACATGATGAATGGATTTCTACTTCTCTTTTCATGTTGTCTTGTGTTGCCAAGGCACAAGAGGCTCTATGCGACTCTGGTTCATCAAGAAAGTACTTACTTCTACTTTTTCATCTTACACTTTTGTTATCCAAGTAGGATCGTTCGCTGCATGAGGAAATCCCTACAACTTTAGAGCCCACAGAGATGGCATTGAGAGTAACCATACGTCACTATCAGTCTTGTAGATTTTATAGATCTAGGGAAGTCCCAAAATACGTTTGGTGTGTGTGTGGGGGGGTGATGGACAAAGGAAAAGAAGAGTACAGAAGCACTGAAAGACAATGGGATTTAGCCTTTTCCCCCACTTGCTATTTAAGAAAAAAGGTATTTGAGAATCCTATCTTTAAAGATCATTCTTTAGGGGACCTTAGAATAGTATGTTTTGTAATATTGCATTGCACTGTGTTTAGGAATATAAGTTCTAAAGTGAGAAAAACCTATTTGAATCTCATTTCTCCCACTTGCTGCTTGGGTGAGTCTAAATATGTGTATTTAAAATGTATGAGCCTTGCTTTCTTCATCTTTTTAAATAGAAATTGGTATAGTACCTAGTACACAGTTATTATGAAGAAAAATATGTTAGGTTCATGTAGAGCATGAAGAACAGTTTCTAAAACAACAGTAATTATTCAATAAATGTTTGCTATTTTTATTATTATTTTAAATGTCTGTATTTTAACTCAAAATCCTTTTAGACTAATTAAGTTTAACCTCTTTAGTAAATGTTTCTAAAACATTCAGGTCTGTTTTTCTCAATAGTTATTTAAGAGGAAAGGAGATAACCCTCAGAACCTTCTAGTATGTTGGGATCATTACTCTGACCAACATTTCTCCTCATAAGCATTCTACTTTAGCAAAATGTATGTCTCCAGATCCATCATCCTAGGCTTGCAAGTACAAATATTTCATGCACTGCCACAGATCTTTTTTCCTTGAGTACCACTTGGTGTGCAATAAAGTTTCAAAACTTAATATTAGCAAAAAAACAATGAGCATTTATTTAGCTCACCTGTCTGGTGGAGGCCAACTGACCTGGCCTAGGTAGCCCTGCTGAACACAGCTGATCTTAGCTGGGCTTATTCATCTATTTATTGACTAGCTGGTGAGCAATTGATCTGAGCTTTTGTTTTCCTCTTGGTCCAGGCCAGGTGGAAAATGTTCATCTCATGGTGGGGGCAAAAGTGCAAAGGAGCAAGCAGAGACATGCACGATCTTTCTAGACTAGTTTCCCATCACGCACAGCCACTTTTATCTCACTCTACTAGTCAGAGTAGGTTACATGATGAATCCCAAAGTCAACAAGCTCACACACATTCCTCCTATAGGAGCTAAGTTGAGAGAAAGAATATTTCTGAACCAGAATTCAACCTCCTAAAACCATGCAGACACTGTTAAGTGATCACAATATTCTCTTCCACTGTGACTGAATAGAGCTTTTATATCCTTAGCAGTTACTGTAATTTCAGGAAATCTACTAAATATGAGGGAAAGAAGAAAAAAAAATCTAAATGAGACCTCTGATTTTGCAGAGTTTTTTAATACATCTTACAGAATAATAAATCTGAATCTCAAATTCTATCTGTAAAATAAAACATCATATTTTTATTCTTTCAGAGTACATGACATATTTAGTTATTCAATTGTGATCGAGTCAGTAAAAAAATATGTATATATACACTAAATAGCAATGATAATTGCCACTGGATTTTAAAATACTGATTAATTCATTATCAATTATATTTTGTCTTATAAAGATAATATATTGAGAATCTTTAATAGTGTTACTTGTCATTAAAAAAATGCATACATCTCTCACAACTTTGAAAGTAAAATGTACAAGAACATATATAAATAGTACAATGCCCAAACCACCACTCAGCGAATTCTAATTCACTTATTTCAAACTATACTAAAAAATCCTAAAATAATATATACTTTTTCATTTTTCCTGTTTATTTTTTAATTAAACTTTGAAAATAAGCTCAATCTTCCTTCAAAATGGCTTCAACCTTTTTCATTAAAATATTGTTTATTCTTCCTTGGCCTAATTAGTTTCAACGTTAAAAGGAAATAAAATTTGCGGATTTAATATAAGAAAATGTTCTACTGAAACTTAACGTTTATGAAATGATCATTGTATTTACATATATTAAGTAAAATGTGATAGTGATAACCAGCATGAGAAAGAAGAGTTTACCTATTAAACAAATGCAAAACATTTGAAGTGTCCACAGTAAGAAGTGGCTCTGGGTGGAATATAGGGCTCCAATTCTTACCCATAAATTCACATACTTGCAACAAGTTATCTCTCAAATTGAGCAGTTTTATGAAAAACAAACTACCTCTTACCAACAAGTCATTCACCAAACCATTGATCACACTGTTAAATTCCATAAAAGTCTAACTAAATTGCGTTTAATTAACAAGCAAACATTTAGAAAGAAAACAGTCATTCCACAAAACTTTCCAGGGGTAGAAAACAATTTGAGCAACTCTGAAGCATAAATTACTATTTTTTAAAAGACATTTTAGAAAATAAAGTGAAAATAGACTGTTCCCATGAAAATAATTAAGTTTACAGAAGCACTGGTGAAAATTTAACCATAAAGTTGCCTCTGGATCTCTTAAACACTAAAAAACAACCAATTTTTCTTTCTCTCTTGGCCAATAATTCTCTCCATTCCCTTCACCCCTAGCTATAATTTCTATATGTTGGAAAGATGGCTGGAAAGCCAAAAGCTTCAGGACTTTCCTCTGGTCATTGGGATGACCTGTCCTTTTTTGTCCACTCCTCCAGTGCTCATTGGGAGTCTGGCTTACTTCCAACTGCCTCTCAGCTGGATGTCCTTTGCGAGAATCATAAACAAAGAGATGAGCTTGAAATTTATTATCAACGGTCCTGAGTTTAATCTCTACCTTTTCTTAGGAGGCAATCATACAGCTCTAGCCAAAATAGTTAAGATTCCTGAACCTCAAGTTCCATATTCACAGTAAAGGACATTACCTTAACAATGACAGACGTTCTAACTAAAAATCTACACATTGCCCACATACTCATACTCTCATCCTCACGATTTTGAATTAAATTGCTTATATTTTTTATCATCCCTAGAGAGAGAGAAATCGCAAGCCCAGGGATTTAGACCCACGTTACACTGAAACAACCCCTTTAGGAGAATGAACTGAAGTAATTACTCCATGTCCATTACCCATTGTACTCACTATTACCTAAATGTAAAATATAAAATCTCCTACTAATATAGATAACATAAAAAGAGATGCTTAATGAACTGAGCCAACCAGGTACCTCAAAATTGCTCTTTTTAAAAAGATTTTATTTATTTATTCATGAGAGACACAGAGAGAGGCAGAGACATAGGCAGAGGGAGAAGCAGGCTCCCTGTGAGGAGCTTGATGCGGGGCTTGATCCCAGGACTCAGGGACCATGCCCTGAGTCAAAGGCACATGCCCAACCACTGAGCCACCCAGGTGCCCCAAGCATCTAACTCTTGATCTCAGCTCAGGTCTTGATACCAGCTGGTGAGTTTGAGCCCTGTACTGGGCTCCATGCTAGGTGTGGAGCCTACTTAAATTTAAAAGAATAATAAATTAAAAAAAAAACAAAACAGCAGTATCTGTATCAAAAATATTTTAGTACTCCCTACCTTTCAGAAAGACTAACTTGGGATTGACCAAAATAATTTCAGTTTTATGAAATATCTGGTCTTCTTTTAAATGTATTCCAAAAAATCAGAGACATTTTAAAATAAGTCAAAATTACTTTTCATAAACCAAGAAAAAAATTTTGAAACAAAAGCAGGAGGGAATTACAACTCCTTTGCAGATATAGAGTAATGTGAAGCCAAGAGTGAAAATATTTGAAGCAGAGTTTCCAGTTATCTCTTTTATTTACTTATTTTTTTAAGGTGTGGAAAATTAGAATACAAATCAAAATAGCACTTGATAAAAGGACAGTTTTAGAATTAAAAATAATTCTAAATCTTTTTTTTTTACTAGTTTCATGATGGTGTGATTTACTAATTAACACAGATATAATGTCATAACCGAAGTATTCTAAATTCTTATTCATAGGAAGATTAGCTCACCCACCATGATTTCTATTTGATTTTTCTTCCCTTTGCAGAAAGATTACCTGAATGTTATTACTTTTCATTTACTTATTTTCTGGTTGAGATAATTTATATTTGCACCAAAGTATTTTTTTCACAGATTAAAAACACTGATCCATTCCTATAACCCAAAAATCATATCCTACAAAATATGTGACATAAAAGACAACCCAAACATTCTACCACATACAATAGGGAGGGAAGCACAATGGAGATACCTAAATAAATGCTTCTAAAAACCCCATACATAATTTTCTGTGTTCTTCATGCTACCAGTAGCTGACCAACAAGTCCAGAATTTCTTTCTTTGATTAAGGTGGCAATAATTGTGGCGCCTTGCCTTAAACTTGCCTGTAGGTTCTGCTCCTCCTGAAAAAAAAATAAGGATAAAACAATAATTATTTTTTAAATGTCACACATGAAATTTAATACTTTTATCTTTTAATATTTCTTCACTTTTAGCTTTTTTCCATCAGCTTGAGATATAATGGACAAGTGACATTGGGTAAGTGTAAGGCGTACAATGTGATGATATATGTATGTTATGAAATTATTACTACAAAAGGGTTAGTTAATCCATCACCTTATACAGTTACCATTGACGGGGTAGTGAGAACATTTAAGATCTACTCTCTAGCAACTTTCAAGTATACAGTATTGTTAACTATAATCACCATGCTATACATTAAAACCCCAGAATTTATTTACAACTGGCAGTTTGTACTCTTAAATCAACATCTCCCTATTTCCCTCATCACTCAGCCCCTATCAGCCACCATTATCCTATTTTTATGAGTTCAAGGAGCCACTTTTCAAGGTCGCCTGCTCTCTGGACACAGCCACTGATATGTACTTGGTCCCCCAAATAAAGGAGAAATGCTTTTGCAAGCACTTTTCATTATACACAAAAATGTTTCTGTTAAAGATACCAAGAAGATATTGGCACAATTTCAAATGCTAGCAGTATGAAACAAAAGATTTTCCCTTAACCCAATATCTGACCAACTTTAGCTCTTCACTCAAGTGTGAATATTTCATCGATGATGCACGCCTTTCCTTCATTTTGTTTCTGAGTGTTCTCCAACAACAGACTTTGTTATAAACTGTGAGTACTGGTCTGGGAGGAAAAATAAAAATGGCTTGTTGTTTGTGAAGTAAGGATCAGGCAAATTAGCGAAAGGAGTTTCTCACAAGTTGCTAAAATGTGGTTTTTGCCTTTGAAATCATATTGCCTATGAATACAGACTACTTAGACTTCTTGAGGGGGGTGAGGGGATGGTAATATGAAGGTGAAGGGAAGGTCGAAACAGCTATTATCTTTAAGGTCTGTGTGTTTATGAATTGTGCTAGGTTCAAAAAGAGGGACCTGGTAACCAACTTCTATATCCTGGCATCATCTTTAATGCCTTTACTAATGTTCAGTCTATCACCAGTACCTACTGCTTCTGCCTTCTTAACGTTCCTTGAATCCATATACTCCATTCAAACTGCCACTGCCCGTGAAACATCTCCATCCTAAATTTCTGGAACAATCTCATAAACAGTCTCTCTAAAATCTTGTCCTCTCCAGGATCGAGTCCCACACTGGGCTCCTTGCAGGGAGCCTGCTTCTCCCTCTGCCTGTATCTCTGCCTTTCTCAGTGTCTCTCATGAATAAATACATAAAATCTATAAAAAAATAAAAATAAAATCTTGTCCTCTTTTACCCTGTTTTGCACACAGCAATCAAAATACTTATTTAACATATAGATCTAAGCATATCACTACTCTGCCTAAAACCCTTTCAAGGCTACCGTTGAACTTTAGGATCAAGTCAGAGAACACTTTACCTTTTTATCCTTCTATCTTCTTCCTGCCATTCCCTTAGAATCACTCAATTCTCCAAGCCACACAGAGCTGTATAAGATTGCCCAAACAAGCTATTTTTCTAAACGTTCATTCCTTTGCCCCAGCTAATCCCTTTGCCAGGAAAGCTATCTCACTCCTTTCCTAGCTCAGCTGATCCTAGTTACTCTTTGTGGTTCCACTCAGTATATCGATGGTTGCAACCTACCCAGACTCCTATTCCCCCACCTATGTGGGTGAGGCGAATCTCTGTTTCCACAGCTGTGAATGCCTCCAACACACTGAATTCTAATAGCCTTTTTAGTTGACCATCTATTCTAACAGATGATGAGTTTCTGGATATAAAGAATTTTTCATTTTGTCTTTGAATATGGAACACGTAGTTCAATGCCTAACACATGGTAGCACTCCATAAATTATAATGAATTCAAAGCAAAGGAGGCTATGATAGAGGTTATCATCATCCTTTCAGTCTAACTCATCTGTTAACATTGACCACTTTTTGGTTACTTTGTTTGCTCCTATTTGCATATTTGGCAGGAAGCCTGGCAATTGTACAAAGAATTTTATCAAAACCTTTCCACTAGCACACCTTCACCAGCCCAGAGGCCCTAGGTTTTTCCTCTGTGAGGATAGTGGTGAGAGACGACCTCTGCTTAAGCTACACTTTTCTATCAATTTCCCTGATTGTGTTCTAAGGGATGGAACTGGGAGAAACCCACTAGAGGCTGAATGGTGGCTGCTTTGCATCTTGCAAATGAGTTTTAATGCCATTTCAGGATTGGATTTCAAATGATGTACTGGTTTCCTGAATATCACAGGACCTAAATCACATATAAACCATTCTTTTTTTTTTTAGAAATTTATTTATTTTTTAATTCTTATTTATTTATGATAGTCACAGAGAGAGAGAGAGGCAGAGACACAGGCAGAGGGAGAGGGAGAAACAGGCTCCATGCACCGGGAGCCCGACATGGGATTCGATCCCGGGTCTCCAGGATCGTGCCCTGGGCCAAAGGCAGGTGCCAAACCGCTGCGCCACCCAGGGATCCCCCATATAAACCATTCTAAAGCCAATTATGTTTAGGCTTAAACTGTGATTCCCTTATATGGGAGTAGATATCATTCATGTCATATCATTCATAAATACACAAATATTCTAAAACTAAACAAAACACAAATTAACTATAAATATGTATTTGCCACTCATAATGATTAATTAATTGCAATATTGCAGGGTTTATAATACACATTTACGCCCAAGTCTCATTTATTAAATTGAGACATACAAAAGGTGAGGAAAATTAAAGTTTCCCCTTTAAAAATAAACAGAAAAAGATTATTTGTATAGCCTCTTTGAAACCAGTTTATATTTGTCATAATGAAAACAGCAGAGAACAAATGAAGAAGGGAAAAAATCTGTTTAAGATCCTAGAGCTAGAAAATTCACATTTCTATATCTTAGAATAAATCTTCTATTCCCATCTTGATAGCTTCATAACTAATACACCTTTAACTAATGAATTTAAGAATGTTCATTTTAAAGGTTAATATATTTGTGCAATTTTTTCAGGCATCATTTGGAATGATTTTAATTCAGTGAGAAGAATTCCACTGTTTTCCCTCTCTACCTGAGCTCAATCATCTCATTCTTAAAAAGTATGGAAATTCAAAAAGTGATTAAACAAGATGGTAAAATCCACCTACATTCAGAAAATTCAACTATATACAAAAAGCAGATATTCAAATAATGTATGGATTTTAAACTCATCTCAAAATTCTTATCTCTATAAAAGTATTGCTAATGCAATTTTTTAAAAATGTAAATTAAAATAGGTCTTTAAAAAAACATTTCTTGCTGCCAGTAGATATTCAAATCAGTGTTTTTAACTGAGGAGGGAGGGGAACAAAAGGGGCCTTACGAAGGGGTCATTTTAATATCAGTCACATACGTGTGTATTTTTTTCTTTGTATATCCCAAATATTATAAAATAAAAATGTTTAATGTTATTTTAAATAAGGTCAACATGCATACCGAAAAATCATGTTGATAGTACTCATTCTTGATATAATGTCATGAAATGGCATTAATTGCTGTGGTCTTCCTCCCCAACATCCATAACCCCAGTTTAACCATCAGGGAAATATTACACACATTCCAACAGGAGGTCATCCTACAATATATCTGACCAATCCTCCTCAAAATTGTGAAGTTCATCAAAAACAAGTCTGAGGAACTGTCATAGCCAGTTAGGAACCTAAGGAGACCAGACAAACTAAAAATAATAGAATATCCTGAAATTAAAAAAAAAATACATTGGGTAAAATTAAGGAAATCTGAATAAACTATGGCCTTCAGTTGTTAAAAATAAGGGAGATGGGTACAGGGCATATGACAACTCTGTGCTATCCTGAATAATACAAAGTGTATTATTTTTCAAAAAAGTATGTGTTCAATTTCAAAATATTTCTCTTGATTTTAAAAATATTTATGTGCCAGAATTACAAAACCTGATTACAATGTTAATTTGTGTGTGCCAGCTCATTTATATATTCCTTAAATAAAATACACTATTCTTTTAATAAATTATGCTATTGGTAAGGGCACAGACTCTATAATGAGACTACTGGTATTCAAATACAGGCTTTGACTCGTATTTTTTTTTTACAAAGCTACTTTTAATACTTTGGGGTGAGCCCCACAGGAATAAAAAACACTGGGAAGGGGTAACCCCCTTACTCCCAGGTGTGGCCCATGGGGAGAGGGGCTACTTGAGGGGAAGGAAGCACAAAAGGGACCCACTGCAGACTCAGGGCAAAGGGAATGCCATTGGTTCTGGGACCTGTGAGCACTACAGGAGAAAATGCAAGCATGGAGGGACTGGCTCCAGGCACACAGGCGAAAGGCAAGAGGGTTGGACACGAAGCCACAAAGCTTCGTGTATTTGTGACATGAATTTGTGACAATTTTCAAGTGATCTTGAGCAAATATTTTAAGTTTCAAAGTTCTCAATTTTTTCTTCTAAAACTATAATAACAATAGTAGCTACATCACCACTTTTTGGTGGGCACTAAATCAGACGAGACATAAACTACAGATACCTGGTAAATATCCATTCATGATAGCTGTTAGAATTATCTTTATGGTGTGCACCAATTTCACCCATGACATAGTAGCTGATATTACCCTCTCATCACACATAACCATTAAATCTGATTATTTACTCTATGTAAAAATACTGTTGCAAGTCTTGGACAGTAACCTATGCATGTCTACGGTGCTTGAAAGAAAAGCCCGTGAGATAACATTTACTCCAGCCATCTTGAGAGAATTCTTCCAAACTCTCAGGAAGAGAAATAGAGCCCAAGAAGAGAATGACAGTCTCTCTGGGTAGAAAAGACACAGATTACAATCAGAGTTGTTAAGGTGCCTTGGATATGTGCAGGTTAAGTCCCTGACAGTGGTGAGTTGCAGAGATGGCCTAAAATTTTGCTAAAAACTCCTTCACTTTTTCGGTCAACTT